AGAATGGCCTGCAGAGTGAGGTGATGAGCCTTGGGACTCTAGGGGATGAGGGCCCACCAGTTGGGTGAACTCTGTGGTCTCGGTGGCATCAGTGTGTGACACTAACCTTTATTTTAGGATCAAGTCTGTTGCCAAAAAAAGGACTGGTTTCCTTGTACAGTTGCTGTCTGTAGTTTCAAGTTAAGGTTCTTGGTACATTTTGTTGCTGCTGGACAGATTGGTATTGTGAGGATGGTGTCGGACATAATGGGGAAAGGAGCCCGTAGGAGAGTTCTGCCTGAGAAGTCGTGATAAACGTTTTGGTTAGTTATGGTGGCTTTGTGTACACCCTTGGTGTGAGCCACTTAGAAACAATGGAAAGGTTATTTTTATTTTTCTTCTTCTATTCCCCCCCCCTTTAATTTAGCTTCTTCAGGGTTTGGTAATTTCAGGGGAAAAAATTAACATACAGCTTCCGTTCTCTGAGTATAGTTACAGTCCCAATAAGTAGTTTGTAAAGCCATTCGAGAGGCTAGACTTTATGAAGAAGAATGTGGCATCAGGATTGGAGGAAGACTCATCAACAACCTGTATTATGCAGATGACACTTTGATTGCTGAAGGTGAAGAGGACTTGAAATGCTTGATGCAAAAGATCAAAGACTGCAGCCTTCACTGTGGATTCAGTCACAAACATCCAGAAAACAAAAGTTCTCACCCCTGGGTCAACAGGCAGCAGGACAGACCGAGAGAAGATTGAAGTTGTCAATGATTGCATCTTGAGTAAACCCACGAAACACTCTTGGCACCAGCTATCAGGAACTCGTGTTGCACTGGGTAAATCTGCTGTTAGGGACCTCTTCAAGATATTAAGGAGCGGTGATATCAGTTTAAAAGCTAAAGTGCTTCTAAAAAAAAAAGTTTAATGTGCATCTGATTCAGTTACTTGCATCAGTGGCTCAGGATGACGGAAGATCTATGCCTTTGAGTTGTTGGACAAGAGTACTGAATATCCCAATGGACTGCCAGAAAGAACAAACAAGCATGTCTTAGAGAAAATGCTGCCAGGATGCTGCTTGGAGGCAAGGATGTCAAAGTTTCATCTCATGTACTTAGAGCATGTTGTTGGGGGCTGCTACTCCTTGGAGAGGGACATCATGCTTGGAAAGGTGGAGACTCTGAAAGAAAGAAAGACCCTCTTGAGATGGGTGACACAGTGACTAACTGCTCTCCGGAATATCAGAGACGATGAAGGCGGCACAGGCGAGGGCCAGGCCCAGATCCATCCTTTGTGTGGTCACCTTGGGCCATCGTCACCTCAGCAGTCCCTAATGGCAAGAACAACAAAGCTGTCAGGTTTTTTGCCAAATGTGTTTTAATTATTATTATTTAAAATAATTATTTATTAATTATTGTGTTAAAAAAGTAATGCGAGTTAGTTATTGTGATAGTCTATAAAAAACCTCAAATTGGCAGCATCAGGATGGATGGTGAAGAGATTGAGATTGTACACAGCTTTAGTTTGCTTGGCTCCACAGTCAGCGCTCTTGGCACCAGTAGCCAGAAAGTCTGCTGTTAGGGACCTCTCCAAAGTGCTGAAGAGCAGTGGTGTCTCTCTGGAGACTAAGGTGCGTCTGATCCAGGCCATGGTCTTTGCAATCACTTGTTATGCATCAGAGAGTTGGACAATGACCAGGGAGGATAGAAGGAGAATTGATGCCTTTGAGCTGTGGTGCTGGAGAAGAGTATTGAGAATACCATGGACTGCTAGGAAAACAAACAGATTCATCCTGGAAGGGGTCAAACTGGGTGGCTCCTTGGAGGCAAGGATTCTGAGGCTCCGTCTAACATTCTTTGGACATGTTGTAAGGAGGGACTGGTCCTTGGAGAAGGACAATCATGCTTGGTAGAATGGAGGGACAGCGCAGGAGGGGAAGACCCTCTATGAGGTGGATTGATTCAGTGACTGCGGTATTCGGGATGGGTGTATCGGAGATGGTGCGATTGGCACAGGACAGAGCAGAGTTTAGGGCTGTTGTACGTAGGGTCGCTATGAGTCGCAAGTGACTCAACTGCACGTAACAACAACAACAACAACAAGAAGCATATGTAGTGGTCCAGTTCTTGAGGATTAGCCAGGCAGTTGAAGTTCAAGTCCACCCCAGCGTGCCTGAGAACAGGCTTGACTGGAGAGCTACCTTCGGAGGACCCTGCCCTGGAATTTAAGGGGTGGCTGAGATTAATGCGGTCCACAGCCACACAATCACAGGTTCTTTGTGTAGGGGACCTTTATGCAGGCTTCGCACTTGCCTGTCTAACTTGGTTAGGGATGGTTAACATGAAATAAGCCCAAACAATTTAAAAAAATGCAGATTACAGTGGAAAGGTAGTTTCTCTCTCTCCTAGTTTGGGCTGTGAGATAGGAAACCAGACTTGACTTTGACTCCATTTGTATGATCCAGTTTTAGAGTTTGTGATTAGTAACTATGGTTCTGACCTTGGACACAGCCATTTACTGTTTTCTTCTCAGTCATATTGTTTATGTTGAAAAAAAAGCAGGATCTCAAATTCAGCAAAGCTGTATGGCCATGAACTTGACTCCTTCCTCAGCCCTCTTGCTTGGTGTGGCTCCTTTCTTCCTTCTCCCCGGTCCTGTCCTGCATGGGATCAGGTACCTGGGTCCATCCTGTGTGGCGTGAGGGGCCCCGGTCTGTCCCACATGAGGTCAGGTGCCCAGGTGTGGCGTCAGGTGGCGGGGCTGGTGAGGCCGCAGGTTTGTGGGCCTGGTCCTTGCTGAGGTGCAACGAGGTTAGGTCCTGAGTGCTGGCCGTCGCTGTCCCTGTGGGCTCTTGACTCTGCGGGTCACTGTCCCTGCAGACTGCACTCCTCAGTGCTGGAGGACCTGTGCGGGGCACCCCAGTTCTCACTGTTTCCCTTGTTTGGTGCACTTTGGAAGTGTGGGACAGTTGGTAGGATGGAAAGTGTTGCAGTGATCTCTGCAGCTTTTCAGGGGGCTCTGTGTTTGGAAGAGGAGACCAGCAGTCATCACCAGCGTTTCTCACCGTGATTGTGTTCACGTGGACAGTGCTTGGGGAAGCCTGACTGTTCGGGGCTGTGGCAGGAAGTGGTGGGCAAACGGTGATGGTGACAGAGAGTAAGAGGAAGTGACACAGGAGAGGGAGCAGTGTGGGAGGCCATGACGCTTCCCTGGGCCTGTGCAGGTAGAGAGTGGCAGCTTGCTGGCTGAGCCCAGGTGCCCAGCACGTGGTCCCCCTCCAGGGAGGTTGAATGGTCAGCCTTTGGCTGGGGGCCAGCCTGCCCAGTCCCCGTCTTTGCTAGTCTGCACACCCTGGCCCCAGGAGCCACAGCTCCAGCCCCTGCTTTAGGGAGAACCGCGAAACGGAAGCAGCAGCTGCGATTTTTGGCTGACGACCGTTGACTCCCCAGCGGACACCGAAGTGACAGGTCCAGCTGCCCTCTAGACGGTTGGCTCTAACCCCAGCCTGCAGGCCAAGCCTCTGCTGGGACTCAGTGGCCCCCACAGCGACAGAAGCCTCTGAGTGCAGGCCACGTCAGATGGGAATGAAGGGCAGGTGCCAGGGGTGACCCTCGAGGACCCCTGTGCTGCCCTCCAGGAGCGGGGCTCACAGGGCACTGACCCAGGGCTGTGCTCCCCCCCCCCCGCCACCCGGCAGTAGTGTGATGTGGAGATGTTCCGAGGTGCGCCGTGCTTGCTGGGAAGAAAGCAGCCTTCCATCTTCATGGCTGACGACCAGCTGTGGAGCAGCTGCTTGTTTCTAGTTCTTATCAGCATCTGGCCGTGTTTTCCGGGGTTGTAGGCACCGAGCAGAGGAGTCGTCAGAGGCCCCAGAACCTCGGGGGCCATCTGGCTCTTGGGGTGTTTGGCTGTCTGCCCTTCCAGATGGCTCTGTCTGTTGTGTTAGCCACTTTTCTAGAGTTAGAAAATGTCAGCGAGCCAACAGCTTTACCCTCGCTATACTCCTGAAGTCATCTGTGCACCCCCCAGGTCATCAGTGAACCCCCCGCTAATCGGTGCACCCCGCGGGTCATCGTTGACCCCCGGTCATCAGTGCACCCCTCCCCCAGTCGTCAGTGAACCCCTGGGTCATCAGTGACCCCCTCCGGGTCATCAGTGACCCCCCGTGGGTCATCAGTGACCCCCGTGGGTCATCAGTGAACCCCCCGGTCATCAGTGAACCCCCCGGTCATCAGTGAACCCCCCGGTCATAAGTGCGCCCCGTGGGTCGTTGGACCCCCGTGTCATCAGTGAACCCCCAGGTCATCAGTGACCCCCCCTGTGGGTCATCAGTGCACCCCATGGGTCGTCGGTGCACCCCTCCCCCAGTCGTCAGTGAACCCCCGGGTCATCGGTGAACCCCTCGGTCATAAGTGCACCCCGCAGGTCGTCTGTGCACTCCCCTGGGTCATCAGTGACCCCCCTGGGTCATCATTGACCCCCCCCCAGGTCATCAGTGAACCCCCTGGGTCATCGGTGAACCCCTCGGTCATTGTTGTACCCCCCCGGGTCATCAGTGACCCCCTCCGCATCATCAGTGACCCCCGGGGTCAGAGAGGCCAGTGGCGAGATGCTCCGACTGAAGGTGTGTCTTTACGCACAGTTTCCTGGACTGTGCAGTCTGTCCATCTGGAGCAGGTCACTCTAGGGCAGCTGCTGTTTGCTCCTGGGTCAGAGCTTTCTGAAGCTGGATGGCATCAGAGAGTCCCTGATGCTGCTTAAGGCCTGTCTCAGGCAGTGCCCTTCCGCAGGCAGGAGGGAGTCTGTCTGTGACTCTGTTATCACCGCCGCTGTCCGAGCTGTCACATCAGTTAGGAGGATCCTGGTGTACTGTCCTCTCCCACGGGTCCCCAGACACATCAGAGTGACCAGCAGCTATTGTTTCTGATGGATGTCTAGTTCAGCTTGCTTTTCTTCTCAACAGGTACATTTTATTTAAAAAGAAACTGCCTCTGTTTAACTTGAATGTTTAATTTCTCGTTCAGTTCCAATCTGAATATCAATGATGTGCTTGGAAACTACTCACTGACTCTCATCGACGCCCTGGACACACTGGCAGTAAGTGTTCAGTCTCCCTTGTGTTTTTGTTATTAATTAAAGTGAGAGGGTTAGGAGTGAGATCCCCAGAGTTCCCCGGAGAACCTGCTCCTTGAATCTGTTGACAGCGTTGCTTATTCTAACTATGCTTTCACTCACTTTGGTGGCCAGTGTCTGTCTGGGTGGTGACTGAGGCCCCAAGATATGAGCCTATCAGGAGTAGCACCTCTTCCTGACTAGAGGGTGTTGAGGGGTGGGACCATGGCCAGGAGCGGAGTCTCTCTTGCTCTCAGAGGAGCCTAGTCTAGTCAACCTGAGATGTGGTCCCTGTCAGTCCAGAGGATGAGTACAGATGGGGTGCCCAGTCAGACTTGGTCAGTGTGGAGCGAGTGTCACTACCAAGCCAATGCCCAAGGATGACGCGCTATCCAAAGGGTGCACTGCTCCACCTGTGTCCATGCAGGTGCCGGGCAAGGGTGCCCAGGAAGAGGGAAGGCCCCGGTCAGAGGTGCTGACCCCACTAACCCGGGGCTGACCGCGGGCCAGGCACACACAGTCCACAGGCTCCCAGACAAAAGCTGTGTGTAGGCAAGGACCCAGCCACAGGTGTCTCCAGTCCGTGGCGGTGACCACAGGTCAGATGTGTGAAGCCCATGGCTTCTGGAACGATACGCCCAGAGTTTCACATTCAGCGTGCGTTGTGTGTGTGACCGCAGGTCCACCTGGGCCTCGGCCACTTCCCTTACTGTGATGGATGTAAGAAGCCTTTAATCCTTCTCTGACTGCGTCATCAGGTTGGAGTATCCATCGAGAAGTCCCACGTTATATGACACATGTGCTGAGGAACACAGTTCAGTCTGTGAGGGGCAGGCCAGCTTCTGAAGGCCTTCCAGCTGTGTCTGTAAATCTCCGGAATAGTGGTGATCTCACAGCCTCTCTGCTCTCCTTCATTGTCAGGCAAGCTGTTACTGTTAGGAAGTTCTTACAGTAGTCTAGCCTACATCCTACCTTCATCTTTTCTCTTGGAGGAGTTTGAAGTGGCAGTCAGGGCTCGGGTGGGGTACTGCAGTCCACTTCTGTCTTCCTCGTAGCAGAATAGCTGGTACCACTGAAGAGCTTATAATGGCTGCACATTCTTATTGTAGAGTAGGCCGCAGAGGTGCGCCTGGAGCCTTGGCTAGTGGGGAACGCAGGGCGTCCAGGGTGTGCCTTGGCCAGCCCTGCCAGCTGGACCAGCCCTGACAGCTGTGACCACACTTCCTAGCTTCTCCACTTTGCCTTCAGACGTTCCTGCCGCTTTGGCTCTGCCATCCACCACCCCTGAGCCAAGTGTGTCCAGCTGAGGAGGGTCATTCCAGTCAGAACTCCCTGTGAGGACAGCAGCGCTGGCTGAGGTGGCTGTGCTGTGGCGGCCTCTGACCCACCAGCTTCTTCAGGAAGGGCGTTCTTAGCAGCACCAGCTGCCTGAGGCGGATTCCAGGCAGAGGTCAGACAGGCCTCCTTCCAACCTTTGCCCAGCCCTGACACTAGTCTCTGCATGTTTCTGTCTCTCCTGGGTTCAAGAATCTGTAGCCTGGGCCATGTGGAACTCGCGGACGGCAGTCAGGAGGATGGGGTTGTTCAGGCAGCAGCACACTAGGCCGCAGCGTTAGAAACGACGCAGGATACTCTTTGGCAGCACGGCCTCTTCTCAGTTGTGTCCACAGGCAGGCCTCTCTCTGACCCTTGGCCTCATGGCCTGGACTCTACACTGCGTGAGCAAATAGTGCCGAGTTCTTTAGCTCTGGGGGTGAGTTCCTGAGTGTGCACTCCGTCAGGCCTCGGACCAGAGTGCTCAGTCCCCTTGCCCGTGGGCCAGGAGCACCCCAGGCGGCCTGTCTCCGGCCAGCCTCTTGATCCTGCTTCTTCACACGTCTCCTCGTGGTGTCCAGTGTAATGGCTCTGCCCTCTGGAGCCAGGCTTGCAGGTCCACAGGGTCCACACCACTCCCAGGTCTTGTTGTTGTTGTTGTTGTTGTTGTCGTTAGTGGTGCCCCAATTGGCCTTCTTGGATTGATTCTGTCTCCTTTTATCTTTTGTGATAAAGTATGAGTCAAGTGAAGGGCAACATCTGCCCCGATCTGCCTCGTTAACTTAATAGCCAGCTCCTCCCAAATGGGACCGTAAGCCAGGGTGCAGACCGACCCAGGACAGCCTGTAGCCAGCCCTCCGGGGGGTTTTCAGAGGCGGCAGATCTCACTGGGGAGACGACTCACCTCTCCTTGAAGGGCACCTGGCAGGTTTGAACTGCCGTCACGGATCGGGAGCAGGGCTCCCTGCCTGGAGGCTCTGGTTTACATCACGGCACCAGCCGGAGGTCTTGGCTACCTTCTCTCTTGCTGAGATTTTGAACAGGCTCTCACCGATAGGTTGCAAAAATAGTCATAAAATGGTAGTCCTGTGACCTTCGGGTGTGATTTACAGCTTTGTTGTGTAACCATTTTGAAGAGAGAACCAGAAGCCGGCACAGGATTGTGGCTCCTTGTCTTGACGCTTCCGAGAGAGAGCCACGTGGGGTGGGGGCCTGCAGGACGCGCTTCTCACGTCTCCGCATCACACAGAGCGCCAGGCGCCATTGCAGCTCAGGCCTCAGACCTCCTGCCCTTCGGTCCTTCTCCCGGGGGACAGTGTAGTGGGGACCGTGGACCGGGACAGTGGGGGGTTTACCCACTAGCGGCCTCCCGCGTGATTTACAGCCCTGTAAAGGAGGGTCAGTCAGAACTGACTCGGCCGCTCGGGGTTTGGTCCTTTATAGGAGAGGGGGGCATCGTACAAAGTGTTCACACACCAAACAGAGGACCGACTCTCCTGTTGGACCACTTCTTAGAATGGCTTCCCCGGAAGCTGACCCAGCTCCCCGCGGAGGGGAAGGCTGCCTGGCCCTCCCTCTGTGGGGTGTCTGAGGCCTTTGGGGGAGGAGTTGCAGAGGAGACCTTCAGCCTCGACACCTTACACACAGAACCACCAGGGCCCCTGACGAAGGACAGTCTCCCTAAAGACAGGAAGACGCAGAGGGAGCATGAGTGGACATCGGAATTACGGGGGGAAGGGGAAGTGGGGTTCCATGTGGGGATGAGATTAACCTTAGAGGACAAAATGGGTGTGAATAGCCAAACCTTCGCTCAATTTATACCCACACATAAAATTCTTTATCTTTTTCAGAAAAGTTAGTGTTTGACAGGAGCCAGGAGGAATCAGCAGGGACTATTAAAGGGCTTTCTTTTTGAAAGGACAAAAATGCCCTAAAATTAGATTATGAGGCTACTTCCATGAGCCTCCAATAACACGAAGGACAGTGAGTTGTAGTGCTGCGTGGGTGTGTGAAACTGTCTGTCAGTATAAGCGTTCGCAGCATGCCCAGGGCTGGCCGTCTCTGTGCCGGGTGTGCCTCTGCCGTGAATTTGAGAGTGGGTCTCGGAGCCTGACCCTCCTGTTTGCTCTGCGGTTTAGACGTCTGAGGCAGGCAGCACGCTCAGGCAGGGCTCCAGGGGTTTCTGGTCTGCTGGAGACTCAGTTTTTGATGTTGGGTTTCACCTTCCCAGAGTTTTGAGGCCTTGAACCTTTGGTGTTGACAGGAGCGGTGATGGCGAGGAGGGGAGCGTGGTGGGCGGCGGTGGGCGGGCAGTGCCAGCTCACGGCTTGGCCGTGTAGAGTGGATGCTGAGCTGGCTCAAGTGGTCGGCCTGGGCTTGCCACCTGCTTGGGCTGCAGTCTGAGAAACAGCTGTGTTCCGTGTCTTTGCTGCTTCTCAGTGGCAGAACCAGATGAGGCCCCCACAGATCACGCAGGCCCAGAGCCTGGTTTCGAGGTGCTGTAATGGTTTGTCTTCCTCTTTTCACAGATAATGGGGAATTCCTCTGAGTTCCGGAAAGCGGTCAAGTTAGTCATCAACACGGTTTCATTTGACAAAGATTCCACCGTCCAAGTCTTTGAGGCTACAATAAGGTAAAACAGGATGTGAGACGGATTGAAGGCCCATGTGTGTGTGTGTGTGTGTGAGAGAGAGAGAGAGAGACAGAGGCAGAGAGAGAGAATGAAAGCGAGATCACACATTCCAGGGTCCCACAGTCAGCTTTCGGTGCCGTGTGGGCACCATGGCCGTGCCTCATTCATGTTCATATTTATCAGAACTGCAGAACTGGAACGATTGGTGTGACAGGGTCACTGCACTACACAGGACTGTGGGTCTGTGCTTTAATGGCGGTGTAGAATTGGCATCCCTTTCACGACTGGCGGTGGATTTCTGTCTGACTGGTCCTTCCTTCCCTGTGTCCTTGGAACACCCTCCGCTTTTCTGGAGGAAGTGAGTTTCTTGCCACTCCTGCCACCTGCACTTCTTTCACACTGGGGGTCATTCCTTCATGGGATCCGTCTCTCGAATCTCTGATGTGGTCACTCTCAGCCTCACTGGCCTGCATTGGACTAACTCATGACTGACCCTCTAGTGGATTTTCAGAGGCCGTAAGTCAGACAGGATCTTCCAAGGAGCAGCTCCTGGATTCGAACCACTTGCTACTGGGTTTGCAGCACAGCACTTTACCATTAGGCTTCCAGACATGCTTGTTTTTATAACTTAGTATATTGTGACTATTTTTCCATTTCACTAAAACATTTTGAAAATTGTTCTAATTACATGATTTCTAATTTAGAAATATAAAATGTATTTAAACCTGATCATGATTGGCTGTGTTCTGACATTGTGACCATCCCCTGCAGATGGCTGCAGTGGCCAGGTCTCTGTTTAGATCTGGGGTGCTGGCCCCCATTGGCGTCTTTAACAAGGCTGTGCGCTGTCAGAACCCTCAGACGCTCCCGCTCTTCGGGGATGAGCAGCTTGGCCTTTACTTGTTTCTTGTTCTTTATCTGTTTTTGCACAGAAGGTAAATAAAGCACAAGTTCTAACTAGATCCCGCTCTGGTAGGAATGCATCCTTTGGGGAGGTGTTTGCGGTCCACAAGCATAAGTGACAATTTGAAGTGTGCTTATTCTTGGTGGCCTTTCCTTCTTGTGGTGATGCTGCTATCTGAGAACTGCCGGTGTATCATGAGGACCAGGGGGGCCCTGACCCTCAGGAACAACGACGTCCTTTGTCATGAATGGGGTGGAACACGCTTACATCAAGCCTGGTTCTTACTGCTTTATTCTGTCCACAGGGTCCTGGGAAGCCTCCTCTCTGCCCACAGGATAATAACCGATTCGAGTCAGCCCTTCGGGGACATGACCATCGAGGACTACGATGACGAGCTGCTGCACATGGCCCACGACCTGGCCGTGCGCCTCCTCCCGGCCTTTGAGAACACCAAGACGGGCATTCCCTACCCGCGGGTGTGTGGACACTTCTCCCAGCTCTCTGGGCTGAAATGCTGTTGACGTGTCTGTTTGGGGAGAGGATTGAACCAGGGTGGCTGGGGGAGCTTGCTCTGAGGGCATCGAGCCCTGTGTGTGATTGTGATCTTGCCTCATTTTCTGACCACTTACTGTGTGCTGAGCTTGAATTGACTTTGCACGTGTACTTCTGCTGAGGGGTCTCTGCCTGTTCCCAGACTTCTCGTCTGTTTTCTGTATCCCAGCTACAAAATCATCTCGGGTTTTGGTTTCCTCTTGACTTGGGTGTGTTTATGCAGAGACGCCGTTACCACACGTGCGCACACACCCATGTGGACTGGGGGAGCCCAGTGCATGGTTCTTTTCATTTCTTCACGAGGTTCGTGCAGACAAAGCTGCTATCCCTGGCTAGGGAGCTGTGAGTGAGGGGCCAACATCTGGAGTGAGATAAGCCCTGTGGCCCCAGAGTGCTCAACTGGAACCTCCAGGGACTGAAGCAGGAGTGCTGGTGCTGTGAGGTGTTGTCACCGGGCCACCTCCCCTGCCCTGTCTCGGGCTGATCTGCACGCCAGACACCCGTGAACCTGGAGATGGTGCTTGACTTCTGCCTGTCACTCTCAGACTTGTGTCTCTGCAGCCCCGAAGCCTACAGCTTGTGGAGCCATGAAGCCTGTTCTTGGGACAGACAGGGCTCTGGTGCCCACAGCCAGCAGTGTGTGGCTGTGACTTCAGCTCCTCTGGCTGTCGGGGGGAAGGCTGTGCAGAGAGCGGGCTCCTACTGGAGGGCTCCTAGTAGAGGGCGGTGGCAGGGCCTGCTGCTCTGTGGACTCCTGGAGTTTCATCGGGAAACCTTTGTCTCTTCCCTTCTGTCTGCAGGTGAACTTGAAGACAGGCGTTCCTCCAGACAGCAACAACGAGACGTGCACAGCGGGCGCGGGGTCCCTGCTGTTGGAGTTTGGCATTCTGAGCCGGCTGCTGGGGGATTCCACGTTTGAGTGGGTGGCCCGACGGGCAGTCAAGGCCCTATGGAACCTGAGGAGCAACGATACGGGACTGCTAGGTGTGGCCTCTGGGCACAGGGTCTCTCAGGCATGGGGCTTCTCGGGCATGGGGACCCTGTGCACACGGCACGGACTGCTGGGTGTGGCCTCTGGGCACGGGGACCGTGTGCACACTGGGACCAGGAATGGCTGCCCCAGTAGCTTTCTCTCTTAAGTGCCAGCGAGTTGACGATGCCTCCTAGTGACCCTGTGAACAGTGTGGGAACCTTGTGCCGTCCTCTGCTGTACTTGAGCCCATTGATACAGTTAGGTGTTAGCCCATCTGACTGAGTCGTCCTCTCTTCCTGTGACTTTCCACCTTTCCCAGTAGGACATCTTTTTCCAAGGACTCACCCATTTTGACAGCACACCCACAGCATGTGGGATAGATGAGGTTTCGCTGTTCAGACCTCTCAGGAACGGCCTGGCTGCACTTTCTCCAGCACAGACCTGTGTGTTGTTCAGGCCACAGGCTGCTCCGTGCTCTTCTCTACCCCATAGCTCAGACATCGGAAACCCAGATCATATCTATACTAGGGGATGAGTTCCTCTGCTTAAGAACTTTTCCTCAAGATGTTATTAAAAATTATTATGGAAAGTTTAAAATATATAAAACTAGAGACAAATTGCAAGAATTATGAACAGTGAACCATCCCCTATGGACTTGTCACTCATCAACGGTCCTTGTCAGTATCTTGTTACCTTAAGGTGCTATTTGTTAAGACACAACTTGTAGAATTTTAAAAAACATTGGTGGAAATTTACAGAATAATTTTGCCATTCAATAATTAATATATTTGGCAGTTATAGAAATTGAAGTTTTTAATACAAAGATTTGCAAAATTGAAGGAACATTTTGACTAAAGAGTCTTAAGTGTGACGTCTTAAGTCTGAAGCTAAGAAGCCCTCCCAGAATTCTTGTACCAGATCATAGGGACGTTGACCTCAGACAGAGGCTAGCACTGAGCTGATGGACACTGTGGCCAAGGCTGGAAAAACACTGAGGAAGGTTAGCGGTTTACCCTAAATAGTGCTCCCTAAATAGTTTGCTCCCAAACGGAGTGCTTCACGGGAGCACTTTCCTAGGGTGAAACGGCATTGCTGGTTTATCCAGACCAGTGGCAGACTTTAGAAGACTAGAGTTTCTTCAAGTGCCAAGGTTTGAAGGAACATCGAGGGCCAGCTGGGTTCTAAAACAGTTAACAGCCTGCCATGCCTCCGACCGGCTCCTGCTTCACGTCTCGTTTGCTACTGACCAGTGCTTCCTAGTTGGCTTTTGGTGGTCACTTGACTCGTCCAGTTTAGACTTACAGGTTATTGTAAAAGTCCAGCTTCCTAAAGGGGATGTTGGATTCATTAAAATCTGAAATTTATGTTCCTCTTCCATAGGCCCTTGCAACAATTGTACTATACAGAAAAAATTCACTCTGCCTTACACTTGACAGGTTACGCAAGATTCAAACTGTTGACTTATCTTCATAGTTTATCTTTAAAAGCTATATGATTGTTCACTAATGATTTTTCTGCCATTAGGCACTTGGATTATTTAGGGATCTTGACGTTTTGTAGATACGTCTCTGAGGGGCACTGGAAGTCTTTCAGCTTTCTCTCTTTTGGTGTTGAAAGTGCACACAGTGAAGCAGATGTCCATTCAGCTGTCCTCTGTCCGCGTTGGTTACGTGGAGGGCGTTCTCTGAGTTGTGCGGACATTCTCCCCTTCTCTGGGTCGTTTCTCCCCTGTTAGTGTAACTTTGCTGGTGTAGACCATCAGGAGCGACGCTGCCAACCCAAAGGCAGTTCAGTCCTCCAGCTGCTCCTTGGGAGAAAGATGGACAGTCTCCTGTGGGACTTAGAGCCTCCGAAAGTCCACCACCGTCGGCTCTGACTTAGTGGCAGTGACTGTTTTACAATAAGTAACCACAATTCTGCTCTAAGGCTTAGATTGTTGTCAATTTTACCCCATATAGATAGTCCTTACATAGCACAATGCCAGATTTTGTTTACTTGTTAAGCTAAACTCTTGCTCAGTTTAAAGTGACTTTAGGGAGTGTTGGTTTAAAGTTTAAAGACTCGTAGGCAGTTGTCTAAGGAGCTTATCCAGCCTTGTGATTTCAGAAAGTCTGGATCCCTTAAGAGTTTCAAATTCTGTTCTGTGTTTTGTGGCTCTGTAGATTTTTATTATTATTTAGAACAGGATAGTTTGAGTGAAAGGCTGCGGACACTCTTAGCTTTTGAGCTGTTTTGCAAATCAGGGAAAGCTAGACAGCATCCTTATTTTTAATTCTGGGTTAAGTGCTTACCCCCATTTTTATGTAGCGTCGACTCTCCAGACTACCTCTGCTCCCAGTAGGATGACGGGAAGTGTGAGGGCCTGGCCTTGGCGCATTCGCTCCCCGCCAAGGTTGACCAGGGCAGCTGGGAGCTGAAGGGCCATGTTTGTCTTTGCAGGCAATGTTGTCAACATTCAGACGGGCCAGTGGGTTGGCACGCAGAGTGGCTTGGGTGCCGGCCTGGACTCCTTCTATGAATACCTCTTGAAATCTTACATTCTCTTTGGAGAGAAAGAAGACCTAGAAATGTTTAATGCTGCGTACAAGAGCATCCAAAACCATTTAAGAAGAGGGTATGAATCCTTTATGTTGGTTATGCTGCCTCATGAGCAAACAGCACATCCTAAAAGGGTCTGGGTTTCCACCAGACGTGTGCGTTTCTGTTCCTGTCTGCCCTCCTCTCCCCACTTCCTCTCTGCTACTTGTTGGTCATTTGGGGGTGAAGGGGTGTGTACCTAGCGCTGCAGCAGATCACTCTACAGCGTGGTGGCTGGAAGCACCAGGAGTTTCCCTCGCGTGGGCTCTGAGAGTGCAGCTTGCTTTCCCCTTAGGAGGGTTGCAGGGGAGAGGGTGGGAGTGGCCCTTAGAGTCACGTGGTTGCTGGCTGGGCCCACCGCAAGGTTTGAGCTGAGCTGAGCTGAGGGCCCACTTTGGCTCCGTGGGGGTGAGCAGAACTCGGGTGGCGCAGCACGTGTGCTGTTAACCCAGCAGGGGCCATTTACCTCAGGGGGTTGAGCTTGCAGCTTTGAGGACAAGAGGGCAGTGTCCAGGTAGAGATGGAGGGTGCTGCGAGTGGGACTGACTGAGAGACAGTGAGTTCTGGGTTTTTTTTCTGTTCAACCCTGGCTGCTGGCTGGGATCTCAGTTCTCTGCCACCTCAGCCTCTTAGCAGGCAGCTCCTGGCAGCGGGCTTTGCCCAGGGTATGTGAGCTGACGGAGCAAAGTGGGAGAGACGCAGCCAGCCTCATGTGCTCCCTGGTGAATCTTGCTGCATTCTGCCTGGTCCCACTGACCAGCCCTGCACAGTGCGTGTGGGAGGGGGCAGCCTGCCCCTGGGTACCAGCGCAGTGGGGATCCCACTGGGATGACGCGGAGAATGCAGCAGGCATTGGCTGGCCCACTCGGATTCTTTGTCTTTCCAGAGAATTGTTGGATGGGCTTGATACCGGATGAAAGGAAGGGCAGTTAGCACATCTTTCCCCAAAGTGTTTCTGGAAACAGTCTCGGTTACTGTCCCTCAGTTGTGCGTTCAGAATTGTGGGCGAGTGGCGGACGGGGCATCAGTGGCTTCAGTGCCGTGTCCTCTCCAGCTCCTTTACACCCTGTGTGATGCAGACACGTTCAGGCTGCAGACCTGGTCCCGCGTCCCCATTGCAGGAGTCACTTGTGTGACTGGTGTTGGAGTAGGAGATGGTTTGCCTAGGGTCAGGCATTTTTGCCCCAGTCTACAGTGAGTACTGACCCCTGAGGGTCTTGTGGTGCCTCCTTTGGCCCGGGTTTAGAGCCTTGAGGGAAAGACTCATCCTGCTACAGAAATCAGCAGGCCCACATGCGCCCTGTCATGTGACTGTGCGCCTAAGCTTGAGGGTCCCTGTGCCTCTTCTAGAAAACAGTGCCCTTGCTGAGGAGCTGAGTGTGGTCTGTGGGACTGGCTGTGTGGGTGTGTCACCTGCAGGCGTCGGCAGGCGTGGGCACACCACACAGTGAAGAGCCTAGGTCGCCCTGTCCCAGTCCAGGGCTGCCGTAGGGAGGGAGCTAGGTGATGCCCGGGTTCCTGGCCGGGGCAGCATCTTCAGGTTTCTTCACCTTGAATGCTCTGCTTGGTTTTGTAGTCGGGAGGCCTGTAACGAAGGAGAGGGCGACCCCCCGCTGTACGTCAATGTGAACATGTTTAGTGGGCAGCTCATCAACACCTGGATTGACTCTCTGCAGGCCTTCTTCCCCGGACTGCAGGTACTTGGGGCGTGTGTATGAAGGCGCCCTGGGGTGTGTAGACCTTACCTGGACTGCAGGTACTTGGGGCGTGTGTATGAAGGTGCCCTGGGGTGTGTAGACCTTACCCGGACTGCAGGTACTTGGGGCGTGTGTCTGAAGGTGCCCTGGGGTGTGCTGGTGGTGTACCTGGTCATTCAGGCCGGTGGTGTGCACCTGCTGGCTTCTCTGCATGACAGTTGAGGCCTTGTGCCCCTGCAGTAATTTTCAGCCTTAGAAACCCTTCAGGGTGGTTCAGTTCGGTCCCACAGGGTCCCTGCTAGTTGGCAACCCTCTTGACAGGTTAGGTTTTCGTTTTTGGAGTTGACTGAGTAAAGAGCTCCTGAAGGGTGCCTGTAGGAACACACTAATGGAAAGAGCGGAGGTTTGAGCCTCTCCAGAGGAACCCTGTTGGACAGGCCTGGCGATCCCCCTTGTGGCACCAGCGGGGCCCGTCCTGTTCCAGCCCCCGGTCGGCGCTGGCTCTGAAGCAGTTGGCTGAAAAACATGTTCGCATTGAATGGACCCCGCTTCTCCTGGGTGCCCACGTATGTGGTCCTGTCACCGAATCTGTGCACCTGACTTTCCACATTAGTGGCCCTGGCCCCCTCTGTGGTCAGGCCCTTGAACCTGTTTGAAGACAGTGTCCTATGACCAGGAGGACTTAGTGCTGAGGAAAGGGTGTAAAGTATCTGATAAGTAGCTTTTGCATTGATTATGTGTTGAAATGATAGCACTTTAGATATGTTAGTTTAAACAAAACCAGTGGAGTGGGGGTTTTTTCATTGATTTTTGCGTGACTGTTAGAGAATGTCAAGCTGCATTTGTGTCTGAGCCTTGTGCTCTTGTAACACCTGTCTATGTGAGATCAGATTGACAACAGTCCAGCTGAAAAGATTGGGGGTGGTCACTTGATGCTGATTGGAGGAGGAGCAGTTTAGAAAGGGAGGCGAGGACCCGCACACGTAAAGGGCGTCTCTGGTCACCGAATGGAACGCATGCAGACTGAGCGATTGGTGGACATTTTCTATGTGTATTTTCAACACCAAAAAAAAAAAAATATACAGACCAAGTGAAAATGTTGTAGGGAAATAGAAAAAGTTAAACATCTGTGGTGTTGAGCATGTGTCTGTTGAAAACCTGTGGTTTGCACATTGAAATGATTTCAAACACCCACCTGTTGTAACAGCAGCCAGCTCGACAGCCTGTCCCTTCAGCTCCCTGACATCCTGTAGCTGAGTTCTAGTGGAGTTTGCCAGCAGAGCAGATGGAATCAGGAAGGAGCCTTGGTGGGGGTATGAATGTGGGGCCCCCAGTCATTCATTCGCTTCTGCTGAGTTAGAGGTCAACAGCACAGCTTCCTCCATGACTCTCTTTGTAAATTAATTCCTAGATATTAAACAGATCCTCTCTGGGTAAGTGCTAACTGACGTTAGAGTGGCATGGGTGGCGCTTGGATGGTCCACCTCTGAGCCATCTCTCAGGTGTCTGTGTCCATCACTTCTTCTCCGATGGAGCTGACTGCTTCCTGGCCCTAAATTTGGCCTCATCCATTTGCCTGGCTCATGTTCAAGGGATTGAGTCTCCCCTACAGCTCGTAGGTCAGATGAGGGTAAAGCCAGCGGGTCGCCACGAGGCCCCAGGCTGGCCCCCTGGGTGCTTGTCCTAATGTGCTGCTGTGTCCACCCAGGTCCTCAGTGGGGATGTGGAGGACGCCATCTGCCTGCATGCCTTCTACTACGCCATATGGAAGCGCTATGGAGCCCTCCCCGAGCGGTACAACTGGCAGCTCCAGGCCCCCGATGTGCTCTTCTACCCCCTGAGACCAGAGCTGGTGGAGTCCACGTATCTGCTGTATCAGGTACTTGTCCGTCAAGCTCAGGTGTCAGCGTACGGACAGCCCAGCAAGCCTCTTCATGAACACGTGCCCATCAGGTGGCCTTCCCACTCATCCAGTGTTCCTCCGGTCCTGCAGGACATCAGGCTCTGGTCAGGCCCTGGTTTTGAACCCATTTTTAGCCCAGTTTTTCCGAAACTCAGAAGAGGCTTTGTAATAGGGCTGTTTCTCAAGTCCTTGCCTATTCAAGAGCAGAGTCAGCATCCAGATTGACTGTGTCAGGAACCCTTCTCTGGGGGAGTTCTGTGCCATAGACTGTGAAAACCTTTTCTGTTGTTGATTGCCTTTGAGTGGACCATGACTCATAGCACCCTACAAACAAAAGGCCTGAAGCCCCTTTACAATTATTGACATTTATCAACATTCATAGAGTTTCTGGAGGCAAGTTGTTTAGGAAGTGGATGCCACTTTCTAGGTATTCCTTTATTCAGACAGAAAACCAAATTCTTTTTCTCGGAAGTTATGTGGCTTTTTTTTTAAGTTCATTTTTGATTAATACTTATAAAACCATACACTGTTCATCTTTGGAGTCAGTGTGAGAAAGAATGCTGCTGTGACAGCTGCCTTCCCTGCGTTGAAGGCCGATCTTGGCACTTCTGTCCACACGCTGGGTGCTCTGTTGGCCTGGCCTGTCGGGGACGGAGCTGCCAACCCAAAGGTGATAGCTCGGAGGAGGTTCGCATCCACCAGCTGCTCTGTGGAGAAAGAAGAGCAGTCTCCTTCTGTGTAATTTCGCTGTGGAGGTCAGCTGTGGGCCACTATGACGCCATGGTACGAAACGGGAGTCTTGAGTACAGACTGGACTCGCTGGTGGAGCGGCCGCATCTCTCCGGGCGGCCGTCCCACAGCTGGCTTGTGTGGCCCACCGTGAGGCCAGGGGCAGGAGGCTTCCCTGGGTGGCCTCACAGGCTGGGGGCAGGAGACCCCCCAGGAGACCTCACAGGCTGGGGGCAGGAGACCCCCCAGGAGACCTCACAGGCTGGGGGCAGGAGACC